GCATGATGTGCTCGGTGACGTTCGGCGCTGGTGGGGCGCCCTTGAGAGCCCAGCTGGCACCTGGCAGTAGCCGCTGTGGCTCGGAAGGCTACAGCTGCTGCGACCGAGGGTTGCACCCTAGACCCTAGTTGCCGGCGGGCTCGCGCACGCCCGCTCAGGGGCGATGGCGATGACGACCATCGCGCCGCACAACAGGAGCCAGCAATGCCACGAAGACGATGATGATGTCACGTGGGGCGATCGCTACCCTCGCGTTCGCGCGCGTTGGCCTGACCTTGCGGGGATCGCGACGCAGCAGAGGGTGACCCAGCTGTACCGCGTGACGGGGCCCATCTGGATCCCCGCAGCCGTGGAGACAGCGGGCGGCGCGGCGTGGACATGCGATAGGAGCCCGTTCAACAGAAGAAACGACACAGCCAGCGCGCAGTCTCGCAAGCGCTCGGTCGAGAAAGTTGGCATCCTTAACACTCGCGCTGGGCCTTGGGTTGTGTCGAGGAACGAGATCGACATCACTGTGTGCGCGGATAAGGCTTCCAAGAGCACGAAGGCTGTCACGATCCAACGCTACAGTTTGCGCCACTGGGCCACGCTCTACGAGGGCTTGCAGGCTGCTGTGAATGACGAAGGCAACGCTGGCAACTCAGTCGTGGAGGCGTCGTTGCGGGATGGCCTCCAGAATTGCAAAATGTTCCGCAAGCGAACCCCCGCGCACGTGCAAGAGTACCTCGTCGACGTTGGCAACGAGACGAACGACGTGCAGAGTTCGCGGACTGCCCTCCGGGTGCTGATGACTCATGAAAGCGTCGAGTCGGCCTTCTTCCAGAAGAAGAAGCTGCACGAGTGGTCAGTGGCAAGCCTGGGCCAGCGGCAATACGCAGAGAAGAGGTTTGAGGTCACTGAGAGCATGTTCGTCAACCGTTGGCGTTCGAACCACCAGTATGATCAGAGCCTCAGCGCATGCAAAGAAACAAAACATAAAGACAACGTGCTGCCCTCAGGTAAGAGAGTCTAGGACGCCGCGTGGGAGCAGCGCCAGGCCAGCGTTGATTGGATGCACCCCGCGATCAACGGCAAGCACTGCAAGGTCATCGGCAAGTTCGTGCATTGCATGCAGCTCGTGAAGAAAGGCTTCCCTGGCTACGCCGTGAACTTGTTCATGCTGGCGTTGCCCCGCATTCCGATCGCGGCCGCGGGGGTCTCAACCTTCCTCCCGCAGGGCCTGGGCGCCAGCAAGTTGCACTGTTTGACCGAATTGCACGTCGAGAATCTCTCGTTGCCCATGGAAAGGAGCACCGCGCTGAAGGATGTCGAGGCAACGAGGGTGGAGGCTAGCGCCAAGAGGAAGGCGCACAAGAGGCGTCGGACCGTTGCTCTCGAGGAAGGGCCTGGCCTGGACTCGGCCAGGACCATGGTGTGGCTTGACGACTTGATTAATTTCTTGGACTACTGCTCTTCGAAGCTCAGGTGCGGTGCAGACGCGATCAACAGCATGAAGTATATTTCAATGTCTGCGACTTCCACTGGCTCCGCATGCCTCTACTCTCAGCCCAACGGCCAGAAACAGACCGTCATCACCAAGTGGAGCACGCTGAGAAAGATAATGAAGAAGGATGCGTATCGGCGATCCCAGCTTCAGCCGAGGCCGGCGGGCCCTGACTTCAACGTGGGCGAGACCTTGGGCGCCGCGCCGATTCTGGGCGACGTTCACGCCCCCCCCGAGGACATGATCTCCGACAATTTGCCTGTCGTCGGGGGCATCGTGGCGCACTTGAAGAAACACCCGCCCGATGACTCCTCGAAGACCATGGTCGCCCAGGGAGTCGGGGCCGTGATAATGAGTGGCATGGCCAGGATCTACAGCGATGAGGACTGCAGCCCTGGGGCTGCTTCGAAGTGCGTGGTGGAAGCGGCCGCAGACTTCGCGCTCGCGCTACTTCCCCTCAATGTCGACGTAGACTTCGAGAAGTTGGTACGGGCGATCAAGGACATGAAGTCGGACGTTCCCGAAGCGTGCCAGCAGCTCGTGAATTTTCCAAGAGAAGGGCTTTCTCAAACCCAAGTCCATGCGATGGAATCTCGCGATTCGCGTGGTGTGCGAGATGAGCCAGATCAGAACTCCCAGCGGGGTCCAGGTCATCGGAAATGAAATAATAAAGGTGCTCGAAGTGTGCAAGGGCTCGTTCAAGTTCTGCAGTGGTGCGCAGGACGAAGAGCCCTGGGTGGTTGGGGCCGAAGCAACCTACAACCTGATGTTCCAAGATGCCCCCGGCAAGCTCCTCGGCGCAGTTCTGACGTTCGTGGCCCGCGACCCCGCGGCCCTCGAGAACGACGCGGCGGCTTTCAAGGAGAGGATCTGCAAGATGAAGGGCAAGGACCTCGGCGTCATGTGCAAGCAGGAGAAGTACAACTTCTCAGCCCCGAAGTCGCACGACACGTTCCCTGTGCAGAAGCAGGCCGTGCTGAATGACATCGCGAAGTGTTGGGGGGCCAACTACCCCGACTTCAACATCGTCAAGCTCGCTGGCCGCTGCGCGAAGGGCGAAGCTTCGTCTGCCGATGTCATGGAGGGCCTGCGTCTCTCGATGCCAGCTCCGCCCGCGGGCGCCGGCGCCGGGGGCGCCGCCGCGGCGGCGTCGAGCGGCGACCTTCCCGCGGAGGTCACCTGCGAAGACGACGAGGAGGACAAGACGCACTACGTCGATGAGTGGTTCAAGAAGGCGTGCGAGGCAGAGGTTGGCATTGAGGCGGAGGTGGGGCTCAAGCCGCCAGGGGTGGGTGCGGTCGCAGCCCCCCCGTTCTCAACGGTGTTCCTTCGCCGCGTGATCAACCAAGTGCAGGAGATGCTCTTCCCGCTGCACCTTGGCCCCAAGTTGCAGGGGGTCGGCTTGGAGAAGCTGGTGCTGGAGCAGAAGGCGCACTCATCTTCCACGGCGATGGTCGCCGAGCAGAGCGAGCCTGGCGACGCGCAGCTCAACTTTCGCGGCAGTGTGGTCGAGTACGAAGAGACGCGTGGATTGTCTGGGTCGTCGCTGGTGCACCTTGGATCCCCCCACGGCGTTTCCCTCTTCCTCAACGGCAGCGGGTTCCAGAACTTCGAGAGGGGCGACTTTAACTTGGCGTGGCTGGCGAAGGTGGCCCCAGACAAGAAAGCAAACGTTTCGTCATCCCACGCGCCCGAAGTCAAGAAGAGGAAGAGCAATAAGAAGGAGGCGCCACCCGTGATCACTCACAAGTTCGACCTGGTGGACCCGAGGACCAAGGAGGGCTGCGCGTTCTTGTTCAAGCAGCCGCTCCTCGCCCCGCACCCCCACCTGGCAGACGACCAGAAGATCGGCGAGCTGCTGCGCGAGAAAGCCGCTGGCGTCGGCGATGTCATCGCAAAGAAGATGCCGAGGGCTCCGATCACAGCTTTCGCGATCTGTTGATCGCTGCCGACGGCAGCGGCTGCCGTTGGCAACGTGCGACAGCAGCCGCAGCCGCTTGCCGCGAGGAAATTATGTGGGACTGTCATGATGATGCTGATGATGATGATGATGATGATAATGATGATAATCATGTCATGACGATGATGGCGAGGCTAGATCACTGGGCAACGAAAGAGGAGGACGAGGATGAGGAGGAGCTCTAAGAGGGCCCTAACAGAGCTCTAAGGGGGGGCCCAAGAGCCACCAAGAGGGCCCAGGAGGGCCGCTCCTTGTTGGGGACGCCGTCGCTGGTAACTCGCGCGGGCCCTGGAACACGCGCGCGCACGCGCGCGCGCATTTGCCAGTAACTCGTACGGGATAGATCATGTCAAGATTAAGTTGCCCCCTGTTGAGCGTGGATCTGAATAAAAAACTGCTGGTAACTCGCGCGGGCCCCGGAACGCACGCACACACACACACAAACACACGCACACACACGCACACACCCTTCCTAGTAACTCGCACGGGTCCTGGAACACACGCACACACACACGCGCACACACACCAGTACTGGTAATGCGTACGGGCCCTGTGACACACACACGCGCGCACACACACGCGATGGTGAATAGCAAATGGACGTGCGGATAATCAAGATCGGCGGCAGCATGCAGCGACAGCCCTCGACTCCGCTTCCACCTGCTTAGCTGACTGTCTAGAACTGAGACTGTAAACCCACATACGTGCGCACTACAATCCCTGATAGTAGTTCGAGCGTCGACCTAAGCCAACAGCCTGCTAACACAGCTGGGGCAAAACAGCAATGGACGTGGAGATCTGAGCGGGGCCCCTGAGGCTCATCTCAACCAACTCTGCTGTCTTCACTCAAGCACTCCTAACTTCAAGTGTCGCGTACTATACTGCACGTGCGAATGGGTGCTAAAGCCGGAAATTGTGAAGAAACTAACACTGAAACACACGCACACACAGATACCGCCACTGTAGGGGTGGGGTTCAGAGCAAAGAGAAAAGGCGCGGTCAGCACCCTTGGAGCCCGTCAAAGGCGTCCTCCTCCGTGGCGGGAGGGCGTGGTGCGTCGGACATCAGCGTCCTGGTTCGGACGTCCGATCCTACGGGCGGTTCCTGCGGGAAGTACGGGAGAGGTAGAAGAGGAAAGGGGGGCCGACGACAGGGGAGGGAGCGCAGGGTGGGGGGCTGGGCGAAACAAGATCCCAGTCCATCTCGTCAGACTCATCCTGGAGCGTCGACCAAGGCACAAGAAGGTGCTACATGTGACAGCATACCTGTGAGATCTTGTGGGAGCCAGCCCGAGAGTAACTGTGCAAAGCCAATGCCTGTCGCATATGGGGCTGCTCGATAGAAGGCAAAGACAAAAGTGTCCACGACCGCTGAAACACCCAGCCGTACGTCTTGTAGAACTAAACATGTCTGGCAAACGAAGCAAACGCACACACGTACACAGATAACTGATATATGCATGACCGTGGCAATAGACGGCAAAGATACTTTCGGCACAGCCGAAACGCGCGCCAACCCCGCCCTCGCGAAGGAGGGCGTTGGGGCACGGCTAGGCAATCAGGGCGGGCTGTCCTGGAGAGGCGCGCTGGACCACGTGCCATCGTCCACCAGGTAGCGGAAGAGCAGGTTGCCCACGGCCTCGGTGCTCGCCTCCTTGTACTGCTCCTCGGTGGCACCGAGGCTCTCGAGCTTCCTGCGCCACTGGGCGTTCCCCTTCAGGGGGGCGACCGCCTACCACCACGGCTTGAACTCCATCGGCAGGCTTTCCGCGAGGGCCTTCGCCTCGCGTCTGGTTGCACTGACTCCGATGTGGCCTAGGGCCTCTGCGTGCAGCTCCGCCGCCATCGTCTTCTGGAAGGCGCAACCCTCAACGGCGGCACCGATGTGGTCGGTGATGTCGCCGCCGCTGCCTTTCCCACCCGGGTTGCCCCTGCCTCCGCGGCCGCGCAGCCACGGGTCCTCCCGGTGCTGCATCATAGCCATCAGCTGCTTGACGCCCTGGTTCGCCCCCTCGGCATTCTTGCTCACGACCTGCTGCGTCGACTCCTCCAGCGAGCCCGTGCGCTTGGAGAGGGCCCCCATCTCAGCTCGCAGGCGCTTGCAATCGCGCTGATCCTCGAGGGCGACGGCGGGCCCAGCAGGCTCGCCGTTGTAGACGAACTCTGCCAGGCGCCGCACGGTGTTCTGGCGGCGGGAGTCGTCCTCCGTCCCACGCTGCTGTGGGGCCCCGTCGGCGTTGCCCGTCGGGCCAGCACTCGGGGGCCCCTGGGGCATGGTGGTCAGGGCGGAGGCCAACTCATGCGTCTGCATCGTGCTCGGCTGCGTCGGGGTCGTCGGAGCATTGCCACTGCTGCCATGCCCAGCTGTCTGCTTGGCCTGAGCTGTCGCCAGTGCACTGCCAAGCTGGGCCATCTGTCCGAACGACGAAAGGCTGCGCATCATGAAATTGAAATGGTTGGCGAACCCCATGAGGCTAGGCTGTCTCCTCCGCCTCCCTGCCTCGGCTGATACGGGCCACGGGGGCCGCGCCCCTTGCCGCCCCAGCTGCCCTTGCCCCCCCCACGGGGCGCCGCCAATAGCAGCGCTGGATGGGCAGGGTGCCGGGGATGAGGAAGCACAGGGCGGGGCGAAAAACGAGGCCAGACGTGCGTGTCCTTGGGCCTGAGCGCGACAGCGACCGCGCGAGGTGGCCAGCCAGGGAGGGCTGGTTGGGGCCCTGGGCCTTGACAAGATCGGGGCACGTCTTGTAGATTAGCTGGGGGGCGACCCGAATCACGTCCTGGAGCTCAATACGGGGCTGAACCTGGACCCAAAGCTTGAAAACAAACGTGAAGGGGTAGCCAAGCCTCAAACATACAAGGATGTCGACTATGATGCGGTACGTTATGATGTGCATGTTATCAGCCAAACCCTTCCAACGGGATAAACGTCCTTTAAGTTCGGCTCGGTGTCGTTTAAGGAGAGCGCGGTCTTTCTTAAAGGCGCATGGGGGGCATTGACTGTTTGGCAAGGTCTGATGGGGCTCCAGTCCAGGCAAACTTCTCATTCTGACGAAGGGACTCTAGGGTGAACTCTGTGAAACTCAGGTGGGCCTCCGAACCTAGAAACTTATGAACGATTATGGTGTCACTGACAATCTTGAAAGAGTCATCGACCTTAAACTTGCATCTGTTATATATATATACACCTGCCCTTTCACCCGAGAGACACAAGCACGACATATGGTACGGGATTACAGACCCAAGTCGTCAACATATCTACCTGCCGCAACATGTGTCCTCCTTTTTGGTTGACCTGCATCATGAGAGGTCTCAGCGCGGCTTAGAACGATCTCCAGGATGCACCCCGACAGAGGGCTGCCAATGGGGACGCCTTTAATATGTTCCAAGGAGAAGTTGCCGATGCGGCACAGTCGCATCCCAAGGAAACCAAGGAGGCATCTGCGCATCGACTTGAAACTGAAAATGCACCTGCCAGCATGCGGCACTGCGCCGTTTCCACCCCAACGAGTTTCAAAGCCACGTCTCTCATCGGTGATCGTGATAGTGTGTGAACGAGTGTGTCGAGGTATCTGGTCGGATATTTGGTCGATTGCCTTTTCGATTTCGTGCGAGTTGAGGTCTTCGTGGGCTTGGCCTGCATCAGCGACGACGATGGTAGGATGAACCATGGCAGTGCCACATGCGACGCAACAGTAAGTCCCAGAACGAGGGTCATGCACTGGAGGGCCCAGCGTCTGAACGCGTTGGTGCAAGAGGCCGAAAGCCTGGCTCATGTCCCGCAGGCCCCACCCTGGCGTGACATGCCGTAGTCTGTGGTGCACGCCTCGGCCGACCTGTCGAAAAAAAGCGTCGGCCAAGGATCTTGAAGAACTAACATACATTTCGGCAGCATGAGTGCGTCTTGTCAGCGCAGCGGTGCATGCCCTCGGGGGTCCCGCGCCTTAGCTTTACCGTAGGATAGCAGTAGGGCGGGTTCTTGACGCTGAACGCAGGTTTTTCTCCTGAAGATCTTCCGAGGCATAGTCCAATTAAAAAGGACCCGATACCAGGATACAACGTCTGAAATAAGGGGTGCGTTTAGCTTCCAGCGGTGGGGAACTCGGCTGATAAGGTAAATCCATCGTACTAACATATAAGAGTTACACATCACCCACGTCACATTAAGGTCCTTATCCTCGACAGCGACGCAGGCTGCGAGGCCCATGTCTGCAAAAGACTGAATCGTGCTTGCTGTGCGTCGTGCAAGACTGGCAGAGGATGACTGGCTGCTGCGGGGGGCTGTGGCTGAGCAGAGAAGTGGCCCAAGTCAAGCCTGAGGTAGACCATGCTGCCTCAACCACTTCCCACAAGACTCCAAAACTGCATCGCGAGCCTCGGCGGGTAGAAGCTCACGAGGTGTCCGACCATTAAGTGGGAGCCTAGCTACATCATGTCCTTGCACAACTTTCTCCAAAAGCTCGGGGTCCAGGTTCGCAAAATCCGCAAATCGACATTGCATCGCAGACTTGGCGATGTTCAAGACGCCCCGCTTCATCGGACTGGGCGTTTTTTTGGCCGATGCTGGTGCAACGTCGGGCCAGGGAAACCCAGCGGGGCATCGTGGCCCCTTCTCGGTGTAGGACATGCTGAGACCACCGTCGCGCCCGTCGGTTGCAGGCCGGCGACGGGGCCAAGAGGAAGCCGGCCTGCGGCAAGAGATGTTCGCAGCGCTCCGCGGCTTGCCCGGATTAAGCCCGAGCGCATAATCGATCGTGATAGCGAGGAAGAAGACGGCCAGCTGACCAGCAAAAAGTCTGCTGGGTGAAACCGTCGGTTGGCAGCTCGGCCCCATTCAACATCCTGTGGCCTTACCGCGACATACTTGAATAATAATGGCAGCTACTCTTTACCATGTGCATCGATGGGTCCGAGCTGTCCGCGCTCTTGAAATTCACGACGCTGAAACTCTTGATATGCATTCATAAACTGGTATCGGAGGAGCGTCTGCAATTCACTGCGGCTCCGGAGAAAAACTTGTCTTGCCATGTGCCGCTGGCAAAGTCGCTCGAGGCACTGTGAGTTCCATTCATCATCCTGGCCCTGGAAAGTACGTAGGGATCGACTCGACGAACTCGCATGCCGACTGATATACCTGCGTCGAGGGCGCTTCCGGGGCCCGCGGGGTCCACGAAGAAGAGGTGTAGGTATGTTATTGGCTTCGGGTCGGCGTAGATTTATATATGCCGATTCCAGCGAATATGCATCACCAACACCTGTGATCTCTAGGATCAGGGCCGAGAGATTCATGCCGCCATCTCCTTGCAGGAGTGCGTGATATCTTCTACTCTGGGGGCTGCTGAAAATGGCTCTGCCGACGGCCGCCTGCGTCCACGCGCGGGGGTGCGCACTCAGCACCTACGCACTGGGGACCTCCAGAAACTCCAGAGGTCTGAAGTCGAAGCAACTCGATGAGGTCTAGCGTGTTGATGAGGTCTGCTGGGCCCCTACGAACAAGCGCCTTCTGGAAGCCTAGTGGGAGGGCTCGCATGGCCCTGAGACAACATCAAGACTGCCTTTTGCTACCCGAGAGTCCACAGCGTAGCTTGCATATCGTATTCCCCAAGACCACCGTCGTCACACAATCCCAACCAAACTGGGCAAGGTGGGGACAGGGCTTGCGGAGGTTAAGTAGGAGGTCGTGCTGTAGGAGGTCGAGGGACTTCAGGAAGGCGGGGCGAGGTGTGTCCACCAACAGCTGCCAGAGAACGCTGGGCCAGAAATTCATGAACAATCTGCTGTGTTCCTGGGGTTCACGTCGAAAGAAGGTGCCTCGGGGAATTCCGGGCTTGTCCTAGGCTGCCTATGCGGCCTAACTCCTGACGTAGGACGCCATATGCAGCTCGACTTGCAGGGGGGCGAACTCGTTCCCGACTCCGTAGCCCACGTTGGAGCTCAGCGCCGTAGTAACCTTGCAGGGTCGGAGGTGTAGACGAAGTCGGAGCAGAAGTAGTCAGGGATGTTGACTGACATGGAGATGATATGGAAAGGGTCGGTGGTACACCAGCCATGCAAACCAGCTCCAGACGGACCGGGACACGCGGTGGTGAAGAGCAAATAGACGTGAGGATAATCAAGATCGGCGGCAGCATGCGGCGACAGCCCTCGACTCTTTTTTTTTTTTTTTTTTTTTTTTTTTTTTTTTTTTTTTTTTTTTTTTTTTTTTTTTTTTTTTTTTTTTTTTTTTTTTTTTGTTTTTTTTTTTTTCTTCTTCCACCTGCTTAGCTGACTGTCTAGAACTGCACAGTCAGCAACACGAACAGGTCATGCCGCAGACTGTAAGCCCACATACGTGTGCACTACAACCCCTGATAGTAGTTTGAGCGTCGGCCTAAGCCAACAGCCTGCTAACACAGCTGGAGCAAAACAGCAATGGGCGTGGAGATCTGAACGGGGCCCCTGAGGCTCATCGCAAACAACTCTGCTGTCTTCGCTCGAGCACTCCTAACTTCAAGTGTCGCGTACTACCTGGGTGCTAAAGCCAGCAATTGTGAAGAAACTGGAATTGAAACGCACGAGCACACGCGCACGCATGCACGCATGTGGATGACTGTATGAGGCTGGCTGACCCACGCACACATGCACGCTGTTACTGGCAGTTCGTGCGCGCGGGTCCTGGAACGCGCGCGCAACTGTGAGCGCGTGCTCGCGCAGCCGAGCATGGAAGAGGAACAGGGAGAGGGGGGGGAGGGGGGAGGGGCCCGAAGAAGACGAGGAAGAGGACCGCGGCAGACGGAACTGCGAGGGCCAGGAGAGGGGAGCGCGGTGGCGGTGCTCCAGGACCGCGGCGGCCGCGTCGTCGTCGTCGCGCCCTCCACCTCCTTCCCCCCCCCCCCCCCCCTCCTCAAGGGTGGTGTTGTTGTTTCCGTCGTTGTTGCCGAACGTGTTGTTGAAAGCGGTGTCGTTGTTTTGGTTGTCGTTGTTGTTGAAAGTATCGCTCCTGTCGTTGTTGCCGTTGTTCTTGTCGTTGTTGCCTTATCTGTTGTCCCTCTCTTCTTTTTTACCCTTGGTAGGTAATGCTAAATTCGTTTCTTCACCCTCTATCGCATCTATGTTGGCTTAAAACTAAACTACTTGGTTCTGGCGGCTTGAACTCGGTTGTTGTCGGCGGGGTTTGGTCCGATGGTGATTGTTAACGAGGTAGCGGGTCTTCATTGTTTAAGGGCGGTTCCATGCGTGCTCTTGGCCCATTGTGCCTAACGCGTGCCCGCCGTTGAAGTTCCCGGGGTCTGTCGCCCCCTCCGCCTGGGCCACAAATCGCCCGCTGCAGATGCTGACGTCGCCCGCGCCCTTGCGCCCAACTGAAGTTCCACGCCCCCCAGGGCAAACCAAAACATCGATCCAGAGTGACGGGGGCATATTATGCGTCCCTTACGCCATCGCGGAATCCAGACAGCGCGGGCGTGAGCAATCTCTCAGGGCGCGGCCTCC